GATTATTTTGTTTTCCCTTTCTCTGGGTTCTTTCTCAGGAGTTAAAAAATCCATTCCCAAAGAAAAAGTAGGCAGATCTTCATCGGCTTGTTAGCTGTTGCCAGGTCTAGTTTAACTTTTTTGCGGAAGTTTTTCATGTTTTTTTTTTTAAATGAAAAATGCTGAAGTCTCAGGCTCACAAGAAAAAAATTTTTTTGCGAGGCATTTGTTTGCGAACATCACCAGCATGCACAATGGAAAATTGAAGCACACTCACACTTTTGAATTTGATTACACGAATTTACAAGCTATGTTATAATATTGCTTAATGCTTCAACTCCTGGGAAGATAGCCATCTAGTCACTCCTTACAGTATCACCGCTGAATCCAATTAATTATGGTAAATGAGAATAAAGAAAATGATCACAAACTCAAGAAGCTCTTGATTGTTAGACAAATTCTCCTTGTAAGCACTTTATGTAATGCACAGGGAACAGTATGGAGTACTTGAATACTGATGTTAGGAACCAAGCAAACAATTTGTTCAGACAGAAATTGCATCAGTTAGTCAGCAGATATTTTGAGCTGTGACCGTGCCATTTTAAAAATTATGGTTTTTAACATGATATTTTTATGAGTTCTAAATTGATATCTACATTACTACTTGTTGATTAAAAAAATATATATAAAAGTTGTGATTATTCACTTAAGGTAATTTACATAAAATATATAAAAAAAGTAGTAACCCATCACCCATGGTAACCTGCCTACACACATTTGAAAAATTAATTGGTAGTATCATGATTCAGCTTCTGTGCTTGGTTCATTCTTTCAGCTTTCAAGGGATGTTCCAAACAACAAAATTGTTTCAAAAATTGTATTTGAAAAAGTGCAAGTTCAAAACTTTGGAAACTACACATGCAAAGCAAGGAATGGTGCCAGTGACCCGACCACTGGTACTGTTATTGAAGAAGAGAAAACCGTTGAACTCCTTGTAAGATGTAAGTAGTCTGATGTACAGATCTTGTCTTATTTTTTCACAATAAATTGAAGTGGATTTTGTATTGTAGCAATGTTTTATGACTGAGATAACTTGAGCTAACCATCACCATGTTCCAAAGGTTGCTACTTACAAACCATTAAAAAAAAAAACAGCTCCATTCATTAAGACTTAACATTTCTTCAGTGCAAGCAGAAAATTCTTCAATCCACAATACCTAATGCAAATACTCTGCTTTCAAAAGGGATTTTGGTATATCCAATTTGATAATTTCTTAATTTCCACAATCAGTTCCGATGATGATCAATGTATCAAAATGCGCAAGGGAAAGACTATCTTGTGATCAGTTTGTTTGAAGTTTTAAAACTTATCACAATTATTTTATAGTCATGTCTTTCCTTAATTGATGAGTTGGATTCATCATTCATAAAATAATTTCCAACAATTTTCTTTATTCCATTCAGCTATGCCAAAAATCAACATACCTGATTCTCCTACTCCAGTTTACTCTTTTGTGGGACGCAGGTTTCCTGTGCAAGTTATGTGTAAATTCTTCGGATATCCAGTTCCCACAGTAAAAATGTTTTCTGAAAATGGCACAGAGATTGCAAGTGGAAACCAGTCAGTGTCAATTAACATCACTACTTTATCTGAGGATGATTTTGGCATTTTCAACTGCACTGCAGAGAATGCTCAAGGAACAGCAGAATATTTGGTGGAGTTGAAACAAGCAGGTACTTAAAAAAGACTAGATGACCACATTTTCCTTATTTGACGAGGCAGACACTTACAGAATAAAATTGTTGACTCCTTCTGGTTTTCCGGGATGAGTCAATACTTGGAAACAAGTTTTGAAAACTTTTTACCAAATCTATGCCAGTAACAAATACCTCACAGGGCAAAACCACGCTGTAAAAGCTACCGAAAGGTTACTCAAAAGTATAGATTTCGATACATTAAACACATACTACATCTAAGCAAAAGGCACCATTTCTCATGTTTACATAGTTTAATCTGACCATGGAGTTTTTGCAAATCCTTCACAGTTTTAGGCTTTCTTAACTGCCTTGTATTCTCCCAATCCACCTTGCGTTTAGAGGAGCTATGTGAAGAAAACTCCTCTTGGCCTTCCATAAATCATTTTTTCTACATAAACTACAATGTCAAAACTGTGTTCATACACACACTCATTTAAACACACCTATTGGCTAATAAGAGCACATGTTAAAAACTGATAATCCTTTGAAGTTAAGCCATTTCCAGAGAAAATGTGGTGAAAAATGGGAAGTTTTAAGGAGTCATTAACATAACCAACCCACCAACGAATTGATCATAGACCAACTGATTGAGTATTGAGTTATTGGTATACAAATCTATTCAAATCTGCAGATGAACACTATACACTCTTTAGAATTTTGTAACCATCCATGATTAAAAGACACATGTACCATTTTTTTGTTATCTCTAACCAAACTTTTGGTTTTAGTTCCACCTGGACCACCCCAATTTGTCTCAGCAGAGAAGACTTGCTACAGTCTCACACTTAAGTGGCAGGAACCAGTCGAAATTGGGGGAATGCCTATTATCAATTATATTGTAACAGTATTCTTTTCAAATGGCACTTGGTTCCTGACCAAAAATGTTGCTGGGTCAGTAAGGATGGAAGAGATCAATTTGCAGTCTGAGGCTACTTATCATTTGCACCTAAAAGCACGCAGTGAGGCAGGACAAGGAAAAGAGGAGATACTGCTTGTCACAACTAACAAATTCTGTGAGTACAGTGACAAGAAAAGGGCTTACAGGGTTGTATAAAATCAAGGGTTGCAACTTATACCCATCAACTTATATTTAAAACAGTGAATTGCCTACTTCACACCTGAATTGTAGGAAGTACATTCAACACAGAAGACTTAAATTGCATGATTTCAAATGAACTTACTGTCAGCCTATAATTCTTGGAGTCAGTTACATGTTCAGTTAAACTGACTATGTCTTGTGACAAAGTTGTCGTTTCTGCCTGCAACCCCAAGCATGGTTAAAATAAGGGTTAAATCATTCAGCTAAGAAATGAAAAAAGTAACCTTGTATTTTCCAATGGATCTGCTGTTGGTCTCTTAAGCTTAAGCAATGCAAAAAAGTTATATTTTTTAACAAATTCGTCTTGAATCTATGTAAATTAAGTTTCTTAAGAGAGGCTGCACAACATTGAATACTAAGATAATCAATTTAAATACAAAGGTGTGCCTGGAAAACCCACCATCACCAACACAGAAACAAATGTTGATGTAAACTTCATTGTAACCTGGAGAAAGCCAGATGAGGATGGCGGCGATCCAAACTTGAAATACAGACTGGAATGGCGCAAGCAACCTATAGATGACAACACAGAAGTGGGTAAAGAGGAGAATATCAAGGAAACTCGATTCAAGATTACTGGTCTTGAATATGAGTCAGAGTATGAGGTAAAACTCTTCGCAGTCAACTCAGAAGGTGATAGTGAGGCAGATACCAAAGATTTCAAAACAATTCAAAGCCCTGGTAAGTCATGTTCACGACTTCGACTGAGGTACTTCAATCTCTATTTTATGTGTATAACAAAGGAACAAGTTGCAAACGATACATTTGTTTACTGATGAAAATGAACCACAGGGTTTCACTCACCATTGAAAAAAATAAAGGACTTAAAAATGTGTGGAGAATTTGGAACCATTTAACTTCAAAGAAGGTGCAACTAAAACACTTAACTACACATTGCATCAAATTACAAGGCTGTGCTCTATGTGCTCTACATGTTTAAGCCTTTCATCAGAGCAAGAGCACAGCCTTGTAAGAGCAATTTGAATTATCAATTATCCAGATACCACACAGAGTCTACACATCTTGCAAAATTATCTCATTTAAAATAATACATATTTTAAATATTAATTATAGCATTAATGCTTAGATTTCTTGCTATTTTAATTTGAATTACATCATAACTATTGCCCTTATCACCCACTGCCTTACCAGTACTTATTTGCTACTGCATTTTACAATTTTATCACAATTACTCACATATTTACACTAACATACATTTAATGTTTTGTTTCTTGGGCACAAACAGCCATCAAGCAATCCAGAACGTGTTTGAATAACACACTAAACCAAATGATAAACTTGAATATTCTCAGAACAACAGTTTAACCTTTAACATGATTCCATGTAAATAACCCTGCTTTTGAAATGTATACATCCACGACACTCTTTGACAAACTTAAAACACCTTTAAGTTTGGTTTGTATTAACATTGAAATTATATTCCAACTAAATACATTCTAAACTTGATATAAACATGTTTTATTTTTGAACTTTAATAATTCAGCAAACACCATAAGTTCCTCTCAATGTAAGTGCACCCATGTTTTTTGTTTTTATTTTGGGGTAGTATTTTCTTTTTTAATTAGTAAAAAAAAAAAAAAATCTTTCTTTGATAGGCTCATTAGAATTAATAGCTACTTAAAAAAGAAGGCTTTTAAAAAAAGTCATTTGTTTCCATTCTGATTGTAATTGACCTTTAATATTGCTTAATATTTAATATTAATATTTAATATTTAATATTGCTTAACCCTTCAACCCCTGAAAAATGAGAGACATCCATGTTCTCCTTACGGCATCGCCTCTCCATCAAACATTAAGGTTGCAAAAATAAAGAAACTGATTGCAAATTCAAGAAGCTCTTGATTGTTAGACAAATTCTCCTTGTAAGCACAGAGAACAGTATAGAGAGCTTGCATACTGATGTGAGGAACCTAGCAAACGTTTTGTTCAGAGATAAATTTCAAATTAGTTAGCAGATGTATTTTGAACCATGACCATGGCATTTTAAAAATTGGATGTTTTTTTTGCCCTGATAAATTATTTTTACTTTGAGTGTTCTTAACAACAGCATAAAATAATGATAAAAATTGTAATAATTCACTCAAGGTATTTTAAATAGAACAAATAAAAAGTAATAAATGAATATAAGCATTGTTCTTCTATGCTAGATAGATGGATAAATCATGATTCTGGCAGAAATAATTTTTACAATATGTAATAAATCATCAAAAAGGTAATAAAATCATAGTTCAGTTTAACCAAGGTAAATTCAAACTGTAGCAGAGTCTTATATTTATTTAATGATTACTAAGTGTTCAGGTTAAGCATAACCATGAGCTAAAGGTATGTCTGTCCAATTCTCTTTTTGTCTACTTTCTTCATCCATTAGAGCAGCTTCCTTCAGGCAGTTATGTGCAACGTTTTTTTGGAGTATTTCCATGTTTCTTTTAAATCCACAACTCCTATTTTCTCTTTCTCTTTTTTTTTTTTTTCAACAAAGGCATCCCTTATTGTTCTACAAATATATCTTTGAGCTCTGAGTGAAGTAATGTTAACCAGCTGTAATCTTTTAACAACTCCTAACGGCATGCTAATTTCTTCTGTAAAGTCCATATATGGTGAGGAGATTTGCATGTTGACAGGCTTGAGCAATTGCCTTTCTGTTGTGTATGTATTATGAACTTATTACTACCAAGTGTGGTAGTAAGTGGAGAGGTTTTATTAAAATCAAGAGAATTCATAACAAGCCCTCTAACACAAACATATCTACATCAAGATTCTTTGGTCTGTTTTTGGTTCCATCAAGTTTGTTTTTGGTTAATTTTCTTTCCTTGAGAAGAAGTCTTTGCTTTATGCACACAGACTCTCAACCTTAAAGACTGAACATGACATTTCCAGAAGAAACAAATACCAGAAAAGTGCGAGTCTACATTTTCATTCATTTACACTAACGTAATGGCTTGGTTGTCCCTTATAGCTAATGCACAATTCCTTCACACTAGACCCCCCACATTCTCCTATCACACTGAACACCCCACATCAAGCCCACACGTAACAGAAAACAAAGAAACCATGACAATATGAAAGTGGAACCTCTTATTTGAATCATGATTCTGGTAGAGTTTTGCAATTTGTTTAAGTCTCATCTGAGCCTGGTTGATTTTTCTGACTTTTATCAATACTTATGGTATTGTTTTTCTTGTGTTGCGGTTGTGCATAACTTTTTCTCGGCATTGCTGTTGAGGCATTCAGAGTGATTTCTACATGATTGTGTTTTGGTTTGCATATGGAAATGTTGGTGGTACTTGTTCTTTGAAACTATATCTTTTCCATCATTTACATATTTGTTTCTGTTTAGTTATAAACAACTGAAATTGGTGTTGTTTTTCTTGTGTTGGTGTGGTACATCTATGTCTTGGTGTGGGTGTCTAGGTATTCAGAGTTAATTAACTGTCTTTGTGATTCGGTTTTACAAGATAGAAATGTTGGTAGTGCTTGTTCTTGGATCTTTTCCATGTATTTTTTTTTTTGCTTCTATTTAGAACACAACTGAAATTGATTAAATTTTTAAGTTTTGCTGTGGAAGATTAATTAACATTGGTGGTAAATGTGGTTTGAAAGTTTTTTTCTAATATTGCTGTGCTGGAATTGACTTCACAAGAATTGGTAGACAGCTGAAAATCTAAAGTTATCCATAATTACTAAATTCTAATTTGTTATTTAAGCAAAGATACAAGCTTAGTTTTAAAGTTTTAAAGATATAGCTGCCATAAAAAGCAATTACCCAAATTAAAAAGTCATTGAATTTAAAAATAAGTTATTTATGAAAACAGTGATTTACATTATATCATCAATTCAAGTCCAAGCATCCCTACTCATGAAACATCAAAAGTCAAACATAACATAACTTTTAAAGTAAAAGCAATTAAATGTTCTCAATAGTCTCATTTTGTCTGTACCACTTTCACAGGTTGTAACCCAAAACATTTATTAATTTTTTGTCTCTCTCTAAAGGAAAACATGCCAACATTTATCAAGATGGTGGCTAGAACAGAAACAATCAGACACATATGTGCTATCAAGACAATATTCCCACCTTGGCTAGGTTTACTTTATGACTTGTGTTATTTTCATTTGAGCAACAAATAAGATTTGACCAAAAGACCTCAATCATTGGAAGAAAAATACAAAAAAGAAAAGGTTTAGCCTCTATAGAAAAAGTACCGTCTTCAGATGCAAGTGACACAATTTGTCTGCCCCAATAGGACACTGATAAAGGTGAATTGACAGAAAAAACAAAATCTAAAAAATGTGATATGTTGAGTCTTTCCTATAATGATGGGTGCTTCCTGTTTGCCACCTTCATCAATCAACATCCATTCATAAATGGCATTCATATAATTCATCGTTCAACCTACCTCACTTTCAATCCTCTGAAATGCTCTTCATGTACTCTGAATTTCGACTCCTCATCACCTCTTTAGCCAATATTCTTGTCCTAACCAAATAACAAATTCTTGAAGATAGTGAAAGTTTTATGTTGAGACTCTTAATGTTCCTGATTTCTTTTAATCTGCTTATAGCTTCTGTGAAACCAACTACACTAACTACTCCTCGAGCAAGTAAGTTAACCGGTGCAATATAACAATTTAAGAGGGGGGGGGTGGCTTACTGATCAGAAGGAAAGAAAGTTAATTGATTCACGTACTGCCACAAAGTTGTTTGGGTTACTGTACGTTCCACAGTACAGAAATGTGCAAAGAGAAATTCTCTTGAAAGTGTCGGCCTAATAACCCTTAAACTCCCAGAAATTATTAACAAATAACTTCTTCCCATAATGTCCATTCATTATCCATCAAACAAGTAATGGGAATACTCAAGCCTATTGGGTGGATGTTATTATCTTGATCTAACACCAAATTCTTGTTACTGCTTTGCAAGGAAATTTAAAGAATGGAGAATTAATAATCACACCTTGGGAGTTAATGAGCTGAGTAAAAAACAACAGAGAAGGGCAAATAAAGCATAACAAACAAATTGACTCCAGGATGGTTTAGCAACCAAAACAAATAACAGCAAAATTTACAAAATTTTGAATCTGCTTTCAATCTTTTACATTAAATGACCTTTCATAGGGTAGCTGAGATCTGACTCAAAACATTCCTTAAGATTTTGATAAATTAAACAAAAAGAAAGCAATCCATTAAAAATAAAATTTCAGACAAGTATCACTATGGCAAATAAGGAATAGGGGAATCCTTGTTACAATATTTGCCTCATTAGCATAAGCAATTCAGTTTCTGATGGAGCTAAAAATAACTCAGTTCTGAATATCGAAAGGTCAAAGTACGATTGACTCAGCCAATGAATACGAGCCTGATGCATTGAATACTTTTTGTGCAACACGGGTTTAAAAACTCAAAATTTTACATAGAATGTATGAGCTCATTAGCGCTTTTGCCACTCAGAAATTTTGCAGTTTTTGATGGACTATTTCTCCTTGAATATTACATCCAAAGAGCTAAAAATTTCACCATGTACTAAGGTTTTCTAGCTCTTTAGCTGCCTGAAGTCAATTTGTATCTAACATGCTTTATTCTTTACGCAAAGCCGTATGCAAATGAGCAAAAATGTAAACAATGACATCAGCATGAATCTGCCTATAACATGCACTGGTATGT